GTTGTGGTTGTTGTGGTTGTTGTGTTGGTTCTGATTTTTGTGGTGGCTGTGGTGGCTGTGTTGGCGGTTGTGGTGGCTGTGGACAACAGGATTGTTACGGTTTCAACGAACTCAGCGACAAGGCCGCAAGTACCGGCGCTCAAACACAAACTCACCCCGCATCTGAATGCACTGTGCTTTCCATGTTAGTAGCAGTTGCTGTTGCCGTCGTTGCTGTGTTGCTGTTGCTGCCTTATTGTGGTTGTTTCGGTTCACTATCACCGTCGGCATTGCTGTTGCCTTTACTTCCGCTAACATCACCGTGGTCGGATTCTATCGTTGCCTTGTTTCATTCACCTGCAGGTACCGGCGATATGTTGCATCATCGCAGGCAGAACTTGACGGGCATCTCTACAGCGACTCGGGATTCGGCTTGGTCACAAGATGGTCGAACTCACGGAGAATGAGGTGAGTGACCTGCTTTAGGGCTTGATTGGTTCAGGGCTTTAGGGTATCGGGCTCTAGGCTTTATGATAACATCCTTAAACCCTCAACCCTAAACCCTTAACCCTGTATTACGGGGTTCAGGGCAGGTTTCGTGTAAGTGAGCGACCTGCTCCACACGCGGATTTGAGGAAGTCTAACGCTTCAGGGGCCTTCGCGGGTTCAAGCCGCTCGCAGTCTTTAAGATTTTCGGGAGCTTAGCATTTCAGGGTTCTTATAAGCTTTGTAATCTACAATCTGTGTCTATATCTATAACCTAGAACCTACAGTCTATATCTATAACCTATAATCTGCAATCTATAGTCTATATCTACAGTCTGAAACCGTTAGCTATACTTGAACAGCAACACATCGACGGAAGGATCAACACTGCCGATCTCTGCCTGCTCCTCGAGCTTGGGCACCTGATCTCAAGACTTTGCTGGCCAGGGTCGAGACACGACACAATAGATAAAAATTAACACATCGTAAGTCTAGTATATTATATCAAATCAAAGTTTTCTTTTACTACTTTATATTCTATCATAGTACGTCATATATGATGTATAATTAAGGACAAATATAAATATATATATACATATATATAACAGCTCAGGATCCTACCCAATGGATCTTCTTCTTCGTGTCCTTCACGTTGCCCTCCAAGTTGAGTCTTCCAACGAGCTCGGTCACCTTGCCACTCCTCAGCAACCAACAGAGATGTAGGCTTCTAAATCCTAAACCCTGAACCCTAAACCTTAGAGTTTAGGGTTTAGGGTTTAGGGTAAACCCTAAACCCTGAACCTTAGAGGGGCAACTCAGCAGAAGCTGCATTTGATGTGTTCTGAGTGCCGGGCTTGTCACGAGTGATCTTGTCCTCGTCGCGTGTTGGGGTGTTAGGGAGCTTCCTGTTTTTGAAGATTCGTAACCTCAGCTAAACTCCAACCCACAACTGCTTCGCGTAATGTCTAATGTAGGGACCAAGAGTTTTCCTATACTGTTTTGGGTGTTCCTTATTGTAATTATAGTAAAATATACCCCACAACTACCCTATTCCAATTATTGAGGCCCCCGTCTTACAGAAGCTCAGGACTGTTGCATTTGCGGCTTCGGGTCCACATCTCGAAACAACAAGCTACCCGAGCTCGGGGGTGCCAAGTACAACGGTTTAGGGTTTAGGGCTTAGGGCCTCAAGTAGAGTGTCCTGTAGGTCACCTCTTCTGCTCGGACTACTGTACGGAGGATTCGAAACAGCCAATATCCAAATCCAAAGCCAATGACCCTAAACCCTAAAGCCTACTCAAACCTCGGCCCCGAAAGGTGTCACATGAATAGTTACAATGAGTCCCTACTGAATTACACACTCACAAACTCATAAACCGCCGCAAAAAAAAGCTACCCTAGCCCCAGACCCTAAACCCTAAACCCTGAACCCATAACCCTAGACCGTAAACCCTAAACCCTAAACCGATAACCCTAGACCCTAAACCTGTCCTGGCTATGAACTCAATTGCGGCCCGAAGCTCCACGTAGGCGTTGCCCCAATGAAGCAGCGTGACTTGCTCACCGGACTCGATGGCTTGGGCATCCTTTTTGGGGTTTAGGATTCAGGGCCTAGGGTTTAGGGTTGACGGGTTTAGGGTTTTAGGGCTTCTGCAAACTGATTCCCAGAGAGCCCAATACCCCTTAATTAAGGAATGTTACCTTAAATCATAATATTAAGGCCCCTATGATTTAAGGAATATTCCCTTATTTAAGAAGTATTGGGCTCTCTGGGTTCAGGATTCAGGGTTCAGGGTTTCGACTTTCCTGCAGGGGGTTTCGTTCTTAGCTTTATGGTTGAGGGCTGTGGGGGCTAAGGCGAGAGATCATCAGTGATCGCATTCAATGAAACTCTTCTTGTTGCGAGGTAAGGGTCAAATCCGGACCAGGACGGGGCTTCGAGAAGAACAAATACTTGGGAGCTCGGTTGCGGGGTGTGGGTCAGAGGGGTGCAGGATAAGTTAGTTTTTTTGTTAGGGAATTTTCGCAGGGCTCAGGGGTGAGCAGTGGCCAGTCTGAGCGTTCTGAAGCCAGCGCCTCATGTAGCGATTTCCGTAGCAGTTGCGAAGACTTGCTATGTGCCTCTAGGGGGGGGGGTTTAGGGTTTAGGGCACTCTTCGCCTCCTCCAGTCCCAAGCCCTAAACCCTACACCCCTACACCCCTAAACCCTAAACTCTAAACCCTATTCGTGGTAGGACTCTACCATCCCCGAAAAGGTTAAAGGCTGCCGAAGCCAAGGTCAAAAACCCGAAGCCCCAAAAGCAACCAAAGCCCAAAGCTCGATTCAGGGAAGAGCGAGCCACCATGAAGTCAGCTACACTGACTAAACCCTCAAGGCCTGAAGCCCTAAACGATCAAGTCCTAAGAAAAACACAGAAAAGCTATAAGCTTAATCATTCGTACAATTAGCTGTAAGCGCTCAAAAGTAAAAGCCCGTGTCTCTGCTACAACCTTGATATAAACTTCAAACCCTGATCCCTAAAACTCTCAGAAGTCCTCCTGCTCGATGTAGACGTCTTTTGAGTGGATGAGCAATCGCTCGCCCAGCTCATCGTTCTTCGGATGCTTCCTGGACGGGTCTTAGGGTTCGGGTCTTGGAAAACCGCTAAACCCCTAAACCCTAAACCACTAAGCCCTAAACTGCCCTAAACTGCCCCAAACCCCTAAAGCTTACACCCCTATACCCCTACACCCCTAAAGCCTAAACCCCTGAACCCCAAAACCCCTGAACCCCAAAACCCCTAAACCCCCAAATCCCAAACCCAAAGCTGCCCTGAACCCCTACACCCCTAAAGCCTAAAGCCTAAACCCCTAAACCCCAAACCCCAAACCCTGGGTATTTGGGGACCCTCTGGTTTCAAGAAGGGCTTGGCTTCGAGAGGTTAGGGAAAAGTAGGGTTTAGGGTTTAGGGTTACGGGTTTAGGGTTAGGGTTTAGGGTTTAGGGTTGAGGGTTTAGGGTTCAGGGCTTAGGGAAAAGTAGGGTTTAGGGTTGAGGGTTTCATGTAGGGGGCCTTAATAATACTTAGAATAGGGTTTCGGGGGGGCGGGGGGGGGGGGGGTCCTTCAAGGGTTCTGTAAGGGCTACTACAGGGATTTAGGGCTTAGGGGCCTGAATAGTGAGAATAGGGCTTTGAGGGTCTATTAATTAAACTTTAAAATGCAGGGTTTAGACATTAGCGATCAGCGTTGCCTGCAATTCAGTAATCGGGTATCCTTTATCATCGGGTTGAATTGTTTTTCAAAGGTCATGATCAAGTTTTACACTAGCGGTTAATGATTAACCAAAAACCCTGATGCCTAAACCCTGAACCCTAACCCCACAAGCTAAACGCGAAATGACTCAATGGAGCGTGGTTCGGGTGCTTAACATAATCGGCCTCGGGTTTCAGAATTTAGGGTAAAAAAATTGGGCTTTAATAAAGACCCAAGTATTCCAACCCTAAATCAGCAAGATTAGTGATTAGAACCTCAACCGCCACAAGAAGCTAAACCCTAAATCCTCAACCCTTAAACCCTAAACCTTCAAGACGTCCAACCGTCATAAGCCCGTGCTTACGCTTCAATACGGCTGGCATAGAGATGAAAGCTCGTCATAAATTCCTTCCAACGCGTCTTGAAAGTTGCACAAGCTTCCCAAAGACCCAGCTTTATGAAACTTTAAACAAACCCCCACACATTCCCATGTAACCCTACGAAAGACACCAACCCCTAAACCCTAAACCCTAACTTCCTCTGGCAGCCGAGGCCAGAGCTTCTCCATCTTCGTCGTGGGCTCCGCCGGACCGTCCAGCTTGAGCCAGGCCTCAGTGCTCTTTCTGCAGGACAAGGACAGGGTTTAGGGTTTAGGGTTTAGGGTTTTGGTTTAGGGTTTAGGGTTTTGGGTTTTGGGTTTGGGGTTTAGGGTTTAGGGGCCTATTCTCCTAGTGACCCTAAACCCCAAACCCGAAACCCTAACCCCGGCCAGCGAAAAGGCTAAGCTGTTGAGCTCCGTCTTCTGCTTCGCCTTGCATTTCCCTTTTCTTCACCTTATTGGGGCCTGTAGAAACAAAGACCAACTACTATTGCAGACTTATAGAACCCCAAACGGCCCTCAACCTTGAGACGCTTTCAGCAGCTCCCTTCTTCAAGGAAACGAGAGCCAAGCCCTGGGAAAAAAACAACAGCTTGCATCATCGCAAGCCGCAGCACTTTAGGGTTCACTTACGGGTTTGAGTTGTCCTGTGCCTTTTCGAGGGCATTAAGGCTTTAGGGTCTAAGGCTAAAGTCTTTGATAGGTGGAATACGGCCTTAGAGGTTTGGCGGCTTAACGGGGATACTCTACGTAGCGTTTCACTGCGACGCCCTCGGATCAGCTGTGGGCCGCGCCGCGTCCTCTGCTACAGCAGGGTAGCGAGGCACGATCGGATCGATCCTGATTTGCAAAGGCGTTGGCACCCAGGGTTTAGAGTTTCTTTAGGCGATATCGCATTATGCCCCCCAAACCGTGCACCCTGAAAGTTGATAAAGATATATATATATATATATTTGTATTTATATTTATGTTTATGTATATTTATATTTATATTTACTTATTTATTTTCATTTATTTGTTTATATTTATATACATATATATATATACATATTTATTTATTTAGTTATTTATTGTAGGTTATGGGGTTACTTAATAGTTGTAGGTTGAGGACCGGGCTTAAGACCTTCCGACTTGGAGCCTCCGAGAGAAGCCCCCAACGTCAAGGGGTCGAAAACCCTAAGATACAGCCACAGGGTTTCGGGTTTAGCGTTTAGGGTTTAGGGCTTAACCCCAAGACTTCTGTGTTTGATAATTCTAAATTATGGCGGCCGCGAGGTGTTTTTAAGTATAGTGTGGCATAGTGTCTGTAGCCCGAAAGTCGGAGCCTTAAACCCTCAAACCCTTGCACAGTAACCCGACAGCATCCCGATGAAAACCTCGCAGAAGCCTGAAAGCCCCCAAATGCCGCAAGCCCACACCTCAAGAAAAGCCGCTCTTCAGGGCAGAGAAGTGCAGAATCTATCCCCTGAACCCGCAAAAACCCCCTAAACCCTAAACCCTGAACCCTAAACCCCCAAACACCTAAGGGTCCACCCGAGGTCTACGCTTCTGCTTGTTGATGGCCCAGATCTTGTCCCACTCCATCATGTTCGTGGCCTTCCGGGTCGAGGACTTAGGTTCCTTCCAAGCTGTGAGGTCTTTGGGGCTTTTAGGGCTTAGGGTTTAGGGCTTTGGGTTTAGGGCTTAGGGTTTAAGGTTTATGAGTCCTGAAGCTGTAAACTCTGCAAGCCCGAAAACCCCTAAAATCTAAATCCTAAACCCTAAACTCCAATCCCTAAACTAAGCCTGTACTCCTATCACGATCTGATCCCCTCAACCCTTGACCCTAAACTCCTGAACCCTAAATCCTACGCTGAAACGGTTTAACCAACTCCTAAGCAGGGGCCTCGGTTTTGTGACTGAGGGTTTTCGGCACTTGGGGTTTGGGTTCAGGGTTTAGGGTTTGGGGTTTAGGGTTTAGGCACCACAATACAATCAGAGTTTAGGATTTAAGACAGATCCTTTCGATTTTATAGTTTATAGTCGTACAAGGTGTTAGAGGAACCCTTAACGAACTCAAAGGCTGTTTAAGCAAGATTGCTCTTAAGTCATACCGGGAGGCTTAATCAAATGATCACTCGCATATTGCGTAGCTAAGGCACGGGGTCGTGGGACACAGGCTCTAAAAGGCTGCCTGCCTTCTTCAGGAGACGTATTTAGAGGATCTAGGGTGAATCACAAGTTTGAAATACTAGTTAGTCAACCTGTAGGCCCTTGCAAGGAAACCTTATAAGCAAGTTTTTGCAACCGAACGGAAACCCTACTACAAGCAACAAGCGCAAAGCAAAAAACATCCCCACAAACCCTATAAGCCGTGAAGTAAAATCGCAAACCCGCCTTCGACATGCCTTGGGTCAAGACAAAGTCTTGGAGGGCTTCCACGGTCATTCCACGGCGCATGACGCCCTGAACCTGGATTTTGCGGATTGCAACAACGGATGTTTACGGTGTGGGAGGTCCTACAACACAAGGCTGCATTGGTGTTACAATAGGGGTTGCTATAAGGGCGCAGGGCTTCCGGTACAGCGGAGTTTGATCTTGACTGTGGGGTTCTAGCTGGTTTGGAAGGGGTATCAGAAGGTTTTTGCAAGGTTGATAGAAACCCAAAGCCCCAAACACCCTAAACCCAAAACCCTAGAGGGTCTTACGAAATTTGCACAGGGCTTTGAGGCTTTGGGGCTGAGAATTCAAGAGTTTCGACTGCGGCCCGAGCCCCTACACCCCCCTAACTCCTCGACCCTAGACCCTCTTAAATCCTCCCAAACCCTAACCCCTCCTAGACCCTAAACCCTCCTAAATCCCGACCCCAGACCCTAAACCCTCCTAAATCCTAAACCCAAGACCTCTACGGCGACCTAGGGAGTTCCGGGAGTTTCTCTTTTCGTTGTTTGGCTCTCACCCAGAGAGCCCAATACCCCTCGTTTAGGGAATATACCTTCATTCAAAAATTTAAGGCCCCGTAATTTAAGGTATATTGTGTATATATATATATATATATTCCTTAATTAAGGGGTATTGGGCTCTCTTGGTCAAGGGATTCGACGGCTGCGTCTGAGCGGAAGAGGCTCGGGCGCTGGAGCTGGCAACTCATTTTTCGAAGACAAGGCATACGAAGGTGGGTGTTGTTTAGCGTTTAGGGCTTTGGGTTTTGGCTTGGAGTTTTGGGTTTTAATTAAGGGCGGGAGACTGTGGGCATAATGGAACGAGGACTGAAAACTCACACTGAGGGTAGGAATGAACCAGCAAATTTGAAATGATGGGCGGGGGGTGTAGTTGCTTTATAGTCATACACTGTCATACACATTGGAATGCACTGATATTCTTTGTAGTGATCAGTTCCCATAATCAATACCTGGAGCAACAACGCATCTACTTGGAGCAACAGCATAACATAGATAGAGAAGCAAGTGGCACAACCGGCCACGTCAACAAGAACAAACTATTGTATTTTGCCGTTATATATTCTATATTATAGTACATTAAGTATATTATAGTATATTATAGTATATTATAGTATATTATAGTATATTATAGTATATTATAGTATATTATAGTATCGTATAGTATAGTATAGTATAGTATAGTATAGTATAGTATAGTATAGTATAGTATAGTATAGTATAGTAAAGTCTAGTATAGTACAGTATCTTATAGCACAGTATAGTATAGTATTCTCATTTTCTATAGGCTCAAGAAGGTGACCAGTACGACTGGTACCAAGCATCTGACCCAAGCAGCAGGGTCGTCTGAGGCCCCCGGCAGTGGGGAAGCGAGGGTCATCCCAACCATCGACCTTGCAGAAAAGTACTATAGGGACCGTAATAATTAGAATAGGGCTTGGGGTATATTATACCATAATTATAATAAGGAACCCCGGAAACCCTATTCTACTTATCAAGGCCCCTACATTACTGGTTTAGGGTTTAGGGTCTTGGGCGTAGAGATTCAAGGCAAACAGGTGATGATGATGGCGCTGATGAGTGAATATATCAAGAACCCAGAACAAATGAAGAACAAGAAACGAACTATTTAACAAACAACTTAGATGGTATGACAACTGACTCTAGCATCTATCAAACTTGTCATTATTCTAATGTCTGGTACATTGACATTTGCAAAAACCGAGATACAGGAAAACATTTTCTATATGGTAGGACGGTAGGACCTTATGTCACCGGGCTGAAGCATGTCGCTGTCCGGTTCCCAGAGCCCAGTAGCAGCCCTAAAGCCTAAACCCCGAACATCCCTTCTAGAACCCGTATAGCACACGCATATACTAGGAACCCCCCCCCAACCCTAAGCCCTAAGCCCTAAGCCCTAAACCCTAAACCCTAAGCCCTAAACCTTAAAGCCCTGGGTCCCCCCTTAAACCCCTAAGCTCTCGAAGCTTAGAGCCCTCTAGGGTCGAACGCGGGAAGATTTCGGGCTGGTGAGGTTCAAGGCTTAGGTTTTGGGTTTAGGGCTTACGGTTCAAGGTTTAGGGTTTAGGGATCAAGGTTCAGGGTTTAGGGTTTAGGGTTGAGGGCTTAGGGCTTAGGGTTGAGGGCTTGGGGCTTAGGGTTTAGGGCCTGGGGTTCGTGGCCTGATAGGGTATACAGCCGGAAAGTCTAAGTCACGGCCCAGGACTTCGGCTTAAGCCACTACCCCTAAACCCGAAGCCTTAAAAGCCTGAATATCCTTAAACCTGCGAGTTAGGATTAGGGGGGGACCCTTGGCGATCTAGACCCTCTCAAGAAGGTCCCCTTCAAGAGAGCCAGAAGTAGGGTTCAGAAGGGTCCCTTCGAAGGAGTCTCCCGAATACCAAGGAAAACCCTGATAAACCTCAATCCCTAAACCGTAAACCCTAAACGTCCCTAAACCCTAGGCTCCAGGCGTAGCCGTTCTCCACGAACCAGGTCAGCTTCCGCTTCGATAGGATGGTGTAGGAGAACTGCGTTTTGGCCTCGGGGGACATTAGGGCTTTGGGGGTTTAGGGGGTTTAGGGGTTAGGGGTTAGGGTTGAGGGACACTTTCTGAAGTGATGAGAAGCACACGATTTCAGTGGGTTATATGGTCTAGGGTTGGGGTTTAGGATTTAGGGCTTGCAATGAGCAAGCTCATGCTGAAAGCCGCAGCAGCAATAGCAACCGTCATCATCAGGATGCTGAACCCTAAACTTAGCCTAAATCCTAAAAACTAAACCCTAAAACCTAACCCTAAACCGCCAGTGCTGAAACGAAGCCCTCAGCCCTAAACGACGGTGGGCTGCGACTTAGCTCGCAACAAACTCCACCATCTCGACCTTGCGAGACCCGGTGGCTTCGAGCACCCACCTAGGCAAAGAATGCATGCAGCAAGGTTAGGGGTTTAGGGCTCAGGGCTTAGGGTAAATACCACATGGGTAGGTCTCTTCTTTCGGGCTCCAAAGAGACTGTAATTTCGAGAACTGCCCGAATACTGTGTACCTCGTTTATTTCTCAATGCTCCCGTTGCACGAAGCCTAGCACTACCACTGCCACTGTCGATCTTGTTGCTAGTGCTGTCTACTGTGACATGCAGTGGCAGTACGATACAGACGACTGTGGTGACGAATGTCGAGTCCAATTACGATGCACCCTTGCGACTCACACTGCTACGAGTCGAGCATTCTCACTCTGGCCACATGTCCGGCCGTTTAGGTTTTAGGGTTTAGGGTTTAGGGGTCTAGTAGAAGATACTGAGAGTATTCGACTACCGATCATGCAAGACTTTCAGGACCTGGTGCAGCGAACAGTTCGTCAAGAGCGCCCAAGGCCCAGACTCGTACATTGGCGCACGATCTTTGTACTCGATGGTTCGAAGAGCATGCGTGACGCCCTGTCATCGTCAGCAAGACGCAAGCCCGAGAGTCTGTCAACTACTAGCAAAACACAACACTTTCGGGTTTAGGGATGGGTGTCCGAAGAGATGTTCTTCGATGCTTGACTAAGAATTTCAGCGGCATCGCGGCCTCGAGTGCATCCACCACTGGGCAGGCAAAGTCGTACGTGGGGTAGGCCTGCATCACATCTCTCGGCGATTGCCCAAACAGAAGAGGTCACCCTAAACCCTAAACCCTCAACCCGAGACCCTCAACCCTAAACCCTCAACCCTAAACCCTATTCCCTAAACCCTCAACCCTAAGCCCTCAACCCTCAACCCTAAACCCTAAACCCTAAACCCTCAACCCTATTCCTTATTCCCTAAACCCTAAACCCTAAAACCCTAAACCCTAAACCCTCAACCAGCAGTGCTTGAGGCGGCCGCCTTGTACTTGAAGCCATGCTTGTGGTGGGGCCTCAAGCAAAGGAGGAAGAGCTTCCTGGTTGTTAGGGTCTAAGGTTTAGGGTTTAAGGTTTAGGGTTTAGGGTTTAGGGATGAACACTATCAAGGGACTAAAGGAGAGACCCTTAAAGGGACCCTTGGGGTTATATAGGGGGATCGTGTTTGTTTGAGCGTTATATACTACAACTATTCCGCCCTAAACCACCTAGGATAAACCCTGAGCCCTAACTTCAATACACGATGGCGATCTCGGCAGGGCTCCACGACGCTCCGACAAATGATGCCTTGGTATTAGCAGCTTGGAAGCTCTAGGATACGGGTCATATTGTAGAATAAAGTATACAGGCACTATAAGGAGAGATTATTGTTATTAGTTCATAAAAGACCCCTGTGTTACATGATTTCGGCACACCGTGTCCCAAACGTGTCTGTCTTGCAGCGGTAGAAGACGGGATCGCGCAGACACTTGTTGGCGCACTGCATGTCCTGGCAAGTACAACAGCACTCCTAAACCCTAAACCCTAAACCAAACCCTAAACCCTAAACCCTAAACTTTAGACCGGATCCGTACAGTAAGATCTAAGCCCCGAGAGCCACATATACAACCCTTGAAAAATGGGGGTTTAGGGTTTAGGGTTTGGGACTTCCAAACTGAGAAAACCTTTAAAAATCCCAAGGATGTAAGGGAAAAGCCTGTGTGGTTTGTTTTTTCTGCCGCAAGAAAGCAAGCTGCTGCGTCAGCCGGTGGCAAGCCTAGTAGCAGCTACACGTACGCGAAGAAGAACAGTAGCATTCATTCCGGCAATCAGAGGATCCTGTGTGGTGTGCCATTTTCCTCAAAGAAGCAAGCTGCTGCGTCAGCGTGTGGCAAGCCTAGCAGTGACACGTCGCGCGAGAACAGGAGCAATACTTACCTAGACTCCTGCAATCGGCAGCAGATTCGCAGTTCCATACGCTTTGGGGAAGTGCACCCCATTCCATCTTGGAGTCGGCAACCTCCTCGGCAGTCCCTTCCTGGACATGCTCGTGCTCAGCGCGCTTGTGCTCTGGCTTCTCGTACTCCTGGGCAGCACCCACGACGTCGCCTTTGTGCATGCTTGCTTGGCGAACCGCGTCGGCGACGGCCAGGCACAACAGGAGCACCAACAGGCGGGCGGCAACTGTGGCACCCATGGACATGGGATCGCAGGGACACAAAGCTGGATTTGAGAGTAACTGACGAAGCTTTAATTTATGCTTGAGCCGTAGTAACCATTCATATTTGGATCAAAATCTAGCCACGTCCAAACCCAAAGGGAACACCAAGATGTCAGGAGCTGAAAGAACCCCAATGAACCTCAAGGAGGCTTCAGAAGAATAGTGCTTTGGCGAACGTATCCTAAGTTCTCATTGCGCCACAAGGAATGATGTTACGAAGTATTCCAGGTCCGATGTTGCCTAAGAAACCCAAAGCAATGATTACGAGCGGCGAGCCTTCCATACCCTCCCCGAAGCCGACCAGTAAAGAACCCTTATCGCCACCCTTCTAGAACCCACAAAACCCGTATACAATAAAGCCCCTAAACACAGGCCGGTGTCACCATCTTCCCTCGGACGCACATCTTCAGCCCTTCCTCAGAGCCTCCGGCACAGCTGCTTTGGGAGTGTTTGGTTTTATATAGCTACAATGTTGTGTATGGCGGTTTAGGGCTTTAGGGTTTAGGGTTTACTAAACCCTAAACTCTAAACACTAAAACGACTGGAGGGATTATAATTTTGCTTCCAAGGTTTCTCGGTCTCGGGTTTAGGGCATTGCGGGTTTATACTTCGATTATCCAGAGGTCTTAACGAAGGCTTTGGGGTTCAAGGCTGGCATGGCAGCGAGCCGTCGTGGCCTCTAGCTCTGTGATTAGCACTCGTCTCAGCTTTCCGTGTTGCTGCTGCAATACCTGCTACTGCTACTGCTGCCACCACCACCACCACCACCACCGACAGTAGTGAACCTCCAACATTATACCCGAACTCCCGCTTTTGATTGTCTGGAGAGCTGCTCCAGATAGACCAAAACCCTGAGACAATACTCCACCAACCACCAACCCTTAAAGTAACCCTTATAGACTCTTAGGGAACCCTGAAGGAACCCTGACAGTAACCCTCAAAGTAACTCCTTGTAGATTACTATGAACCCTAAGCCCTAAACCCTCAAAGTAACTCCTTGTAGATTACTATGCCATCTGAGGCCGCTACCTTTGAGCATCTCCCCAAATCTCCGGAGATTCTCCTCCACCTTCCTCGGTTTAGGGTTTAGGGTTTGGGGTTTAGGGTTTTAGGGCAGTTGGAGTTTCTGATTTCGGAGCTCTTTGAAGAGCGCTAGGTGCCACCAAAAGATGCCGCGTGGTGGAGCTCCAGGTTGCCGCTCTGAGGGCCGAAACGCTAAACATCCCTACACCCTAAACCGCCCTGAAACCCCAAGCATTCCTAAACCCTTTACATCCGTCCACCCTAAACCCTATACCCGAAACCCTAGACCGGCCTAAACCCAAAACGCCTAAACCCTAAACCATGTCTAAACCCCAAAAGACCCTCAACAAGACGCCAAGGGCCCCAGCTGGTCTCTGCATTTGCTGCAGACACCCTTGTCCCGCTCATTCCTCCGAGTCTGCGAGTCTATGCTAGGGTTTCGGAGTAGGGTTTATAGGGTTTAGGTCAGATGGGTTGTGGTCCTAAACCCTACACCCTACACCCTAAACCCTAAACCTACACCCTAAACGTTTAGGGGTTTAGGGGTTTAGGGTTTAGGGTTTAGGGGTTTAGGGGTTTAGGGGTTTAGGGGTTTAGGGTTTAGGGGCTTGTAGAACTAGAATAGGGTTTTGGAGCATGTGATAAAACGGACGCTAAGGTCCCAGTTAGTGGAATTCTTAACATCGGGGTTCCTTGAAAAGGGGACCCTAGAATATGAACCCTGCACCCCTTAAAAGGGACCCGATGATAGAGCCCTATAGCCTTTAAGGGTACTTCTTCAAGGATTCAAGGGTTCTTTATGGCCTCTAGGGAGCTCTGGACAGCCGAAGGAAGCTGTCCGCTTCTGGGTCCTCATCGTGTCGACATCTGTGTCGTCCACGTATGCCTTCCCCTTTTTGATGAGCTCCTGGACAGCAGGGAAGTCTTGGGGTTTAGGGAAGTCTTGGGGTTTAGGGAAGTCTGGGGGTTTAGGGTTTAGGGTTTAGGGCTTTGGGTCTAGGGTTTAGGGTTTAGGGCGTTGGGTTTTAGGGTTTAGGGCTTTGGGGTTTAGGGTTTAGATCTTTGGGTTTAGGAAGTAATGCCTAGTGATCCGCGACAGCCCTGGGTTGACTAACCCGCAAGAGCCCACAAAGGCAAACCCTAAACCCTAAACCCTGGGGGTGTGCGGTGAAGGGCTTTTATGGTATTTTTAGGGCTGAGAGATTGGCTAAGCTCAAGATCCGAATCTGTGCCAGCAACCTTTAACCCACCCCCTAACCCCTTTAGGGTTTAGGGGTTAGGGTTTCGGGTCCGACCCCCGTAGCCCTAAAGCCAATCTAAACCCAAGCAAGACGACTCCTCCATGGCTGTTTGCAGCTGTTCGAAGTAGTCGGACGTGTGGCTGACCATGTCAGGCTTGATCTGCCTCACGACGGAGAGTGGTTTAGGGTCTGCGGCTTCGGGTTTTGGGTTTGAGGCTTAGGGCTTTCGGGTTCGAGGGTTAGGGCTTAGGGCTTTAGGGTTTGACGGTTAGGGCTTAGGGTTTTAGGGTTTGAGGATTTACGGTTTACGGCAGTCCACGGCTTAGAGTTCAGGGTTTGAGGGCTAGGGCTTAGAGTTTGAGGATGTGAGAGTTTAGGGTTGGGTGTTCAGGGCTTGAGGGGTAGGGTTTAGGGTCTAGAGTCTAGGGCTTACAGCTTTGGGTTTAGGGTTTGGGGTTTAGGGTTTGGGATTTAGGATGGTGTTTGCACACTGTTCTGGTATCGTATTAAGTGCTACCACACACCCACTCACCCCCTCCCCCCAACAGACAGACAGACAGACAGACAGCCAGCCAGCCAGCCAGCCAGGCAGACAGACCGACAGACAGACAGACAGACAGCCAGGCAGACAGACAGACAGACAGACAGAGACGCACACACACACACACACGTACACGTACACGTACACGTACACGTACACGTACACGTACACGTACACGTACACGTACACG